TACGCGCACCATGTTCCGCCTCCAGCAAGCCTCCATCAGTCCGGTGGCGTGCTGCAAGCTCTTCCAGCATGCGGCGGCGCACGGTGACGCGGTCGTGCAGGGGGCTCTGATTGGACGCATCCGCGACCAGGGCGCCGGCTCTGGCAGCGGCACCCCGGCTGGGGTCCTTTCACCTGGCCCGCTGGCGCCCGTGTTCATCGACATCATCGACGCCATTCCCCTCAGCCACACGTCTCCCGGGACAAGCCCAACGCTGGAGTTTGGCCTATCGCTGGTCCGCCCGCCGCCCCCCGTCCGCCCTCCCCCCTTCGCCGGCTGCCACTCACGCCTCTGCCCCCCTCCGCCGCACTGCCCCTCGGTGGTCTCTCGCTTGGCGCGCGCGCGCGCGCGCGCACCTCACCCTGCAGGCTGCCAACTTCGCCGCCTCGCAGGGCATGCAGCTAGTCGGGACGTACTACTTCGGGGCATCTCTCTGGCCACTGGTCCGGGCTGACGCCTCGGCCGAGGGGGACTCTCTCCCGGAGCCGCCGCAGCCCCGCGATTCGGCGTCTCGCCGGCTGCCAGCCGATACGCCCCCTTGCCCCGGCGAGCCGGGTCTCCAATTCGCCCAAGCTGTCAATGACTCTGCCGCCCAGGGGCGTCCCTTCGTCCTGGTTACTGTGCGTGAGCCTACGCCGGCCGCCCCGCCGCCCTCGGCTTTGGCCGCATGTGTCACCCACGCTGACTGTCCTCCCCCCCCCCCCCCCCCCCCCCCCCCCCCCCCCCGTCCCGCCTCTGCCGCCGGCGCCCAGTCCAACAACCTCATGCTCAGGACGGCGCCGGAGAAGTTCCTCGAGTTCCGGCCCACCTGCACGACGGCCCTCTCCAGCGGCTTTGTCCTGTCGACCCCCTCACGCGACCTGCCGTCACTGCTCCGACGCATGGTGACCCCGGCCCCCGCGGCTCCGGGGGCGGACCACGCGGGGCTCCTCTTCCACCGGGGCGCCAGTCTTGCCCTGCAACAGCAACAACAGCAGCAGCAACAGCAATCGTCGTCGTCGTCGTCGTCGTCGTCGTCGCAGCAGCAGCAGCCGCAGCACGTGGCCGGCCAGGCCGGATCCTCGGGCACCGGGGCCCCTGGCTTGGAGGCCTTTGGCCCCGGGTCTCCGCGAGCCTCTCTTTTGAGTCCGGCGCTGGGCGGTGCTGCGGGACCTGGTCCTCTGTCGCCCACGGCTGGCGCCGGTGCCGGGGCCGGGGCCCCGGCCGACCTCCTGCATCCACATCTGTGTGCGCTGCTGCGGGATTTCGACCAGTCGTTGGACGACCCGCGAGCTGACTGGACCAACCCCCATGTTGCGCTGCTGTTGGCCCAGCTGCAGATCTAGCCCCTCTCGAAATGCATGTTGATTTCCGTCTTTTTTTTTTTCCTTCCCTGGCGGAGCCGCCTGTGTGCGTGTTGTGTCCAAGTGTATCGTGCCCTTTGTGTGGGGTCCTGGAGGCGCCCTTCTGTCTCTCGGGGCAGAGTCACGCTTGGCCGGGGAAAGATGCCGGGCACTGGGCCAAAGATGAAAAGCCCCTCTTCGTGACCTCGGTCACACACACCAGCGTCGATGGTTTAGTGGTAGAATTGCCGCCTGCCACGCGGTAGACCCGGGTTCGATTCCCGGTCGACGCAGTGTTCTCTTCCTTTTGCGCCCGCGGCATTGCCCGGCGCGCGAGCACCAACAAAGGGCGACACAGGAGAGAAGGCACCGTCATATGCTCGCGGGGAGAGAGGGCGTCGTCGTTGTTTTTGTAGTGAGGGGTATTTATTTCTGTCTGAAAGGGGATCGAAGGCGGGGGGGGGGGGGGGGGGAACAGGGAGCAGCAGCCGCGCGGAGAGGAGAGGGATCATGGCGGGAAGATGAGCCCCAGCCTGGCTTGCCGTCTCCGCCCCAGCGTGTCCCGGGCCACTGCTGCCGGGAGGAGGGAGGGGGGGGGCGCACGCGTGGGGGAGGGAGAGAGGGGGGGGGGGGGAAGAGAGGGACGGCGCCCGCTCGTGAAGTGTATATACAACAACAGAGGGGATGTGTGAGAGGGGGGGGAGGAGGAAGAGCACGGCGGTGCACGCGTGCGCACGCCCTCGCACGCACGCGCCAGAGGGCCGACCCCCCCCCCCTTCTGTGTGCCCTCACGCGCGCAGAGGCACGCAAGTCTGTGTAGGAGGAAGTTGACTGAAAAGAGAGCGAGGAGGAGGGCGGAGGGGGTCAGCGGGAGGGACAGAGGGGCACACGGCGTCCGGAGGGGACACGGCCGCGGGGAATATGGAGTGGGGGAAATACACACCATGCGGCGCGCAGAGCGCCGAGGACCGCGCACAGAGGGGGGAGGGGCAGCAGGCGCGCCCGGAGAAACAGGGTCTCCCTTTTTCCTTTAACCGATGACAACCTTGGTGTTGTTCTCGATGAAGGAGTAGGGCGGGATCTCCAGGTTCAGGGGAGCCGGGCCCTTGCGAATGCGGCCGGACACATCGTAGTGAGAGCCGTGGCAGGGGCAGAACCAGCCGTTGTAGTCGCCAGCCTCGCCCATGGGGACACAGCCCAGATGGGTGCACACACCGAGCAGGACCAGCCACTCAGGGTCGACAACACGCTCGGCGTCGGTCTGGGGGTCGATCAGGGTAGAAATGTCGACGGAGTTGGCCTCGTCAATCTCGGACTGGGGGCGGTGGCGGACGAAGATGGGCTTGCCGCGCCACTTGACGACCAGGGACTTGCCGACGGGGATGGTGGTCAGGTCGATCTCGACCTTGGCAAGGGCCAGGACATCAGCCGAGGCGGAAAGGTTGCTGTTGGCGCATGGCGTCGGGGGGAGCGCGGAGGGGGGATCCTGATGGTCAGTATGCGGCAGCGCAGGGGTCTGCCCGTGGCGGGCGAAGTGGGACGCAGGGGGCGCCGCCTGCGGGGGGGGGGGGGGGGGGGGGGGGGGGGGGGGGGGGGGGGGGGGGGGGGGGGGGGGGGGGGGGGGGGGGGGGGGCGGGGGGGGAGGAGGACGCACACAAGGAAATCGGTGACCAGGTTCTTGACGGAGGCAGCGGCAACGAAAGAGGCGGAGCCAATCATGAAGTAGGTGAAGGCACGGCGGGTGGGATCATCGATCGGGCTGTCGACGGGGTACATGGCGTCGTTGTGGGGGAACTTGGTGGAGTAGAAACGACGGGGCTGGTAGTTGGAGAAGGAGGTGGTGACTGTGCGCACAGGGGGTGAGGGGGGAAATTGCGGGTCAGCCTCATGCTAGGCGAAGGACCTAGCGAGAGAGAGGGGGGGGCAGGAAGAGAACGCACCGTTCTGGGACTGGGTGAACTTCTTCTCGTTCTGCTTGGCAATAACGGCGGCCTTGGAGGCGGTGCCGGCTGGAGAGACGCGGGAGGGAGAGGGGGGGAGCGAGAGAGAGCGTGAGCATGTGCGCGACCGGAGTGGGGGGGGGGAGGGGGAGGAGGCATGGCGGGAGGCACAGCGGGAGGATCCGCGAGACGCACTGGCAAGGGAGACGGCGTTCTTGGCCGGGGTGCCGAAGGCGGTGGTCACCATCCCGGAGTGGGTGGTGAGGCGCTGGGCAAGGGAGCGGGCCACGGGAGTAGAGAACATCTTTCAAATACCTACGGGTGCGAGAGGACCGCCGAAGGGGGGAGGGGAGGGGGGAGGGCAGGTGTTCTTCGGTCGGGAGGCAGGCAGGGGAGTCAGTCTTGTGCCCGTGGGCAAAAAACGAGGGGGCAAGTCACGGGCATCTGTGATGGCGCGCGAAGAAGCAGGACCGCGTACAGTGTGATGGCGGGAGGACGAGGCATGCCCCTCTCGGGGGCGAGGAGAGCGAGAGGACAGAGAGAGAGAGAGGACAGGAGGGAGGCGAAAGGCCCGGCGGGCGGGCGGGCGGGCGGGCTGGACGCGGCATGCCGCGAGCGG